AGCTTGTCGAGGAGTGAGACGAGGAGGACGGCGAGCGTCGAGCCCGTTGTAATTTTTTAACCCTCTCCTTCTCTTATTCTCCATTTTCCCCTTTTCTACTTTTCTAATTTTTCTATTAGCCCAAAATTCTCTAGTTATAGATTTATTGAATATCTATATCCACATATCAATTTTGCAATTTAGGAAAGAATGTGCACTCTGATCAACGATCTTATATTGCCACCCATTAAAATGAATATCTATATCCAGAATAGTCTTTAGGAAGTGAAAATTTAGAAAACCAGTAGGCATCATTTAACAATTATATATTGTAGAAATAAAGACCTATCTCAAGAATTACAAAATTATATTATTCATATTTTTACTAATAAACATCATATGGTTTGGATGGAGTGGTTTATGTACATTAATTTTATTAATGTATCTATAAAAATATTGTCAAAGTAACAACTAAGACATTACAGAATTTAGAAAATGCAGAAAAGGGATTTTATTTTATTTATATGCATTGCCAATGACAAGGACGATGACACTTGACTTGATGATGATCGTCGTAATGTTGGCAATGAATGGCTTTGGTAATGAGTCTACTGACAGTATCACTAGGTAAAGTAGTGGTGCTAATAGAGATAAACATGCACATGATGGTTAGAAACATCTGGCACAAGACTAAAATGATGCTTCGTATTAACTACATTACTGAGATGTTCGACGCTGGACTTGGTGGAAGCAACACCAATAGTTTGTCTAAACATCAGTAGGATGTATGACAATAAATGTTTGAAATTGTTACACATATGTGTCCTATTTGGCATATATATAAAAGTTTATATGATTATATATCTTAAATAGTATGCATATTGCCTCACTTTTCACTTAATTAGTTGGCTCTATATATGGAGGTGAATAAATTTTTGTATGCACACACTTCATTATCACTACTACATGTTTTCTAGAATTTGTGTTTGAAGAAAAGAACATAGCAACAATAATGAAATGGTTGATTGATAGCATGGAGGAAGTTTTCATGTCCAACACGTGTCCAACATAAGCACACTTCATTAGTATTTACACAAAAAATTTGTCGCATACACAAAAATTGGACATTTAAAGATAAATTTGGATTTTAAGTGTTATCTATTATTTTCTTGTTTTGAACATACTTCCTTGTACATAACGAGATTCTTCTTTTAAAAGGTAAATAAATTCTTGTCCAAAGAGGTTCTTTGAATTCATTTTAAGATTCACTTGCAGATTCCTTTAAAAGGTAAATAAATTCTTGTCCAAAGAGGTTCTTTGAATTCATTTTAAGATTCACTTGCAGATTCATCTTTAGAAGGACTAAATGGTAGGAATAAGAGGTTCTTTGAATTCATTTTAAGATTCACTTGCAGATTCATCTTTAGAAGGACTAAATGGTAGGAATAATTGAAAATACCTTTTACTTTCAGTTCTTTTCGTGAGCACACATGCCTTTGCTATGAGAATTGCAGCTCAAATTTCACGTTGGTGATCTTCTGGTTATCAGAAGTAAATATTCAAATCTTCTTTTTTTCCTCAAGCATTCAAATCCTTACAATTGCAAATGTAGTCCCCCTAAAAAAACATTTATTTAGCCACTAGGCTTCAGTTTTGCTTAGCAACTCACTAGAAGTGCTATTAGAGAGAGAGAATGTGTGTGTGTGTGTGTTTTTAATCTTCAATTGGATCATCTTACAGTGTTTTACTTGAGTGTTGGACTATATGTTGCAGTCAAACCTTCTTCTTTCTTATACTTCGCAGCTGCTACTCTAGTGTATATGTTGCAGTCAAACCTTCTTCTTTCTTATACTTCGCAGCTGCTACTCTAGTGGTTTTATTTAATTGTTGTTAGAACCTGTTCGAAACCTGTTTTCTTATACTTCGCAGCTGCTACTCTAGTGGTTTTATTTAATTGTTGTTAGAACCTGTTCGAAACCTGTTTAAAATTCCTGCAGAGAAGTTTGGAAGATCGATCAATGGTTAACTGGTGACAACAAAACACTGTTAAGTCAGTCTCGGCCACCTGCGTCGCTGCGTAGATTCTGAACCGATCATCGTCTTGGTCCGTGTCATCGTCACCTTCATTCAATTCCATGGTCTTAAACATCCATGACGAGTTTCGCTGCTCGATAACCCTCGACCAGATGAAAGACCCTGTGATTAGAGACGAACTTAGAGACGAGAAGACGAAGCCGAAGGCAGATAAAACGAGTTTCGCTGCCAGATAATTGCATTTTTTGTAAATTTGGAGATGGGACAGTTAAATTTTTTGTAAACTGTAATTGCATTTTTTGTAAATTTGGAGATAGACTATGATAATGGCAATCAAGTTCCTAACTATTTTGTTGTAAACTTGTGTATATTCTCTTTATTTACTAGTGTTAAATTCTTTGATGCTAGTTCTTAGTTTAGATTATTCTGTGTCTAAAGAGTTGCATCGATGTATTTTTGTTTGTCGATATTTACAATTCGTTGAAGTACATTTAAATATTGAATATGTCTTTGAAATAAATCCATGTTGTAAGTAGAGAGAGTTTTTGTCTAAAGAGCTTACAAGAAGTGTTCTTTTGTGTATGTATAAAATTTTTTACTAGTTATATGTGTTAGGATGTGTCTTGTATTTGATAAACGGATCATTCGAGTTATATGGGTCGGGTCGGGTAACCCGTTTAATAATTGGGTCGGGTCACATTGACCTATTTATTAAACGGGTCAGGTCGGGTCACACTTATACGGGTCGGGTTAAATTTTATATGGGTCGGGTTGGGTCGTTTGCCACCCCTAGATATACCCACCATCTTTTATAAAAAAAGTAATAATAAAAATAAATAAAGTGGTCAAAATAGAACTTTTGAGTGCCTTAGAATGACTACAAGTAGAAATCAATATGGGATAACAGAGCAAGCATTTGAGTCTTCACAAAATTTTCTGAAATAAGAGAGAGAGAGAGAGAGAGAGAGAGAGAGAGAGAGGGAGGGAGGGAGGGAGGGAGGGAGAGAAGCAATAAAAATAAAATAGAAAAATTAGCAGCACATGTAGAAAGCATGAACAATCCTAAAATGATTGAGACATTACAACAGGTAGCCCTCTAACGGTTACCTCTAAAGACAAATAACACGAAAAAAAATGGGAATATGTGCAAATTCTAACTAACCAAATGCTGCAGAACAAACTGATACAAAATAATCAAATGAAAATAAAAATAAATGCATAGCAGCAGACCACCATCCTTCCCCACTCTCTATTTGAACTACTCCTGAGTACAAATAATAGCAAAGCCATAGTCTCCTCTTTTACAATCACCCAATCCATAGATCATCAACATTTGTCCAACATGAAATCAATTGTCCTTCATGGACCTCCCCTAATCACTGCCATTGAATTGAGACCTACAACTACTTTCGACGAACTTGAAGACAACCTTGAACTGTCGCTCCATCTTATCCACTGCCATAACCTCTTGTGAAGCCTTCGAATGTGATCAAATTGTCAACTCTAGTAGCATCATCGACTTATCAAAGTCATCTTTGCCCATCTCTAACATGTTCTGATCTTTCGTGGCGTTTGTTATACTCACCTTTTTCTTTAGGCAAAACTTTAGTTTGGATAAACCTTTTTGTTTTGTTACCTCCCTTCATATTTCTAATTCGATTATTGGATCGTTCTCTTGTTGTTGTTGTTGTTTTTGAGAAGAAGAAGGCCATGATTTTTTGTCACGTGAACCTCTCTCTTCTTCTCCTTATCATCCTCCTCCTCTTCATCGTCAGTGATTGAAACATAACAATATGCCCTCAATGGATGATTCTCTTCTTCTAGTTGTCGTTGATTTGAAGAAGATGATGACCCTTTTGATCAACTGAACCCTTATTTTCCTTCTCTTCTTCTCCTTCTTGTCGGTTGCATGTGCTTCTTCTTCGACTCTCGTCTTCATTGTTGCTGCTGTCCTTGTTGTTGCTGTTGTTTCTGCCCTAATCAACTCTTTTTCATTGTGGTCATCCTTCTTCTTTACACAAACCCATCTTCTTGATTTTTTTGAAACTCAAAGGTGATTGAAACCAAAGAAAGATCTTTTTTCTCTCACGAGCAGATACTGACTAGGATTGAAGAACTGGTTTTGATCTTTTCAATGTGCATGTAGGGTTCAGATAGCGAGAGATGGATTGAAACTAAGGCCATGGTTTCCTCAATGAAGAAGGAATCCTAACTAATTTGAATTAGGATACAGAAAGTTATAAATGATTAGAAATTTAAGAGTTTCCTAATGCCTAGTCCTACTTGGCGTAGAACTCCTAGAACAGAGGAATTTACCTAATGCTATCAGACATCAACCAATAGTCAATTCAAATTTCTAGCAGAAATAAAATCTCCCCCAATTAACTTAAGTTGCTAAAAAAAACAAATAATTTTAGGTTCAAATAGAGCAAGGAACAATTTTGGGCAAAACTTACAACATAATATATAGATTATTTTAATAAAAAAACTTACAAATATTTCATAGGTTTGATTCAGCTTCAAACCTTAACAGAATTTTGATATACATGAATAAGAATTTTCGGGATCTATTTTATGAGATGAAAAACCAGAATAGTAGCCATGGAATGATTTAGTAAATGCTTCTATCTCACATTATTATCAGTACCATTTTTTTTTAATTTTTAGTTTGTTGCTTCATAGAGAACATAGAATATAAATCTAGGAACTTTTTTTAGGACTCTTACTAGTATCTGTTAAACCTGTTCTGCAACAAAGAGATAATTTGTCATTATTAATTTCTTAAGCAACCAAAGAGTTTGGGAATACTAAACCGTGAAATAATCGTCCCTTCAAAATTATAGAGAATTGGTTTTCTCCAAACAATAACCTCTTTCTGAAAATTTTGCTGAGAGAACGATGCAACCAGATGAACAGAGAGATATGAACATGGATGCAATATATTAACTTGTTTAGTACTTCATCATTATATCACAATCACAATATATAAAAAACACATAAATAAATGTTATTATTTAATACACGATAACAAAGAAACACAGACGAACATATTTGGATAACAAGCCATATACAAACCCGAACACCATCGGTTAAAAATGACTAGAGAAAGTACATGACGGTCATACGATGTTACACCTTTTCAATAATAAGTAAATAAAGACCATCACTTTGTTTGGTGTTATTTCTCAAAACAACGCAAGTAACAATTGTCAAATAGCATGTATGATGCTAGTGAATCCTCCATTGCTTAGTATGGTACTAAAAATGTAAGTACTATACTTACATTTAATCCCCCTTGCTCTTTTTATGGGCATCCTGTCTGCAATTTAAATGAATTATAGTTAGGTTCTCAAAACAATGTGTTTAAATCCCTCTGTTTTACTAACTTAATGAGTTCACAATTGATGCAAAATAATTATGCTCTACGCCAATTGTTTTTGAGAGTTAGTGAAGGCATTTGCTTTTCATATTTCATAAGAACAAAGGCAATCATGGTCACGGGTTGATGGGTATCCTCTAACATGATCATAGGAACTGCTCATATTCAGTATAAAACATGAGAGAATTATTTAACATGGTTTGAACTTATGCAATATAGACCATTAAATACACCAGTTATTTAGGAGAACTGATGAGATTATTATTAATAGAGAAAGGAGGACTAGAAATAGGGTTAAAAGAACTTGGTTGGAAATAATTAAGAAAGATATAATAATAGTTAGATTAACGGATGAGATAAGCCATCAATAGAACTGTGTGGGAGAAAATATGATGCAATACATCCAAGACCAAAGTTTGGAATAACGGCTTTGGTGGTGTTATTCTTGTAATATAGTTACTATCCCTGCTAATACTTAAAAACAGATGTCAATGAATGGAAGTAAAGAGTGACCCACTTGTGAACGGCTGCGTTGAAAGAATTGGTTACAGAAAAGGGGTCAGGAACATAAGATGCTCTCGCAACAATTTCAGCTTCTTCTTCCCTCTTCTTCCAATATTGTTCATCGGTCTCTGCATTGACAGACGATTTTGATACCAAGATCAAGGTGAGGAAAGAGATGAGGAGCAACAAGGAGATGAATCTAGAGTACTTCATTTTCCTAAGCTTCTAGCTTGCTTTTCTCTTTTCTTCTTCTAAACTTCCAGCTTATAGACAAGAGAACGAGAAAAAAGAGGAAGAGAAGTTTAGGGAGAGCCATAGAGGAATTTAAGCACAAATACATGAAACAAGAGAGGACTCGGTCTCTGGATACGAGTTAAATTAGGAGAAAAAGTAGTAGAGGAAGGGACAAAGGCAGCTGTCTCATGGTGGCACAATTACTATTCTCCAACTGTAAGGGCCCGTTTGGATGGGGTATTTTGCCCCAAAAATTGGGAGGAAAGCTGCCAAAATGACAACTTTCCCCCAAAATCGCTTCTTCTGCCAAAAAGCTGCCATTTTGGCAGCTTTCTCATGGTGGCACAATTTCCTAAATTCTAAAAAGGATTCATCGCAGATAGACCCCCTTACTATTCTCCAACTGTAAGGGCCCGTTTGGATGGGGCATTTTGCCCCAAAAATTGGGAGGAAAGATGCCAAAATGACAACTTTCCCCAAAATCGCCTCTTCTGGCAAAAAGCTACCATTTTGGCAGCTTTCCTCCCAATTTTCGGTTTAACTGGAGCAGATGGAACCCCCTTAATGGTCAAAAAAGTTCACTTAGGAAGTCTATCCACAATTTGGCTATAATACATGGGATCTACTAGCAGTTAATCCCTTCTGAAAAAGATAGCCCCGAATCGGGAAGATAAGCCTCCAGTAGTGGCTTTGGTATTTCAAATAAGTGATGATACATGTAGCTCACGGGACTAAATTCATTTGAACACACTATTTCGTGCATGAAGCATCTTCATACAAACTGATATCAATGTGACACACCGTCAAATGATAAAACTAAACTATATGGAACTTTGCTCTCCCATAACGTGGTTTCATTTAATCCTCTAAAGAGGGAAAAAGGTTTGTTCTTCTTACTTACCAAGTGTTATATAAGTTGCAGGACATAATACTTGAAAAACAAATAGTATTCTTTGCAGTTCCAACAGGGATTGATAGAAGCATAAATAAATCACAAATTTACACAATATCTGCCTTGAAATAGAACTGCAAATACTTTCCGTTATCAACTTCACCAAAAACATTCAGTGATATAAACATAACAGAGATGTAAAGATTCTGTGAACAGAAACATTCCCCAGCCCCGTAATTTTACAGTTATCCCTGTTAGAGAAACGAAAGTAAACAAGGGGTACTAGTCAAACCACTATTTCAAATCTTCTGGCTTCTACTCGTCAGTCAGCCTAAATTCTTGCAAAAAGAATCGCTACTCGAGTAGAAATTTCCAACCACTTAAACCATCTCGCCTAGATGTTCTTTGCAACTCTTAATCACCGGCATGTTACTCCAACGAATATTCTCATAAGTGGTTTATATAATCCAACCTTCTTGGAGATCTTCTCTCTCTAAATTTGATTCACGAACAATCTAATGAAAATGGAAAGAAGTCTCACGGAATATTGCCTTGTAGTCCTGAGATTGAAAAACCTAATTAATGAACATATCTCAGCGGTTCTATTTAACAACAGAAGTTGGAGTTGAGGCCTATATCCAGCTAGCCACTGCCAAACAAACAAAACTAGAGAATACTTCGGAAGCAGGCTTTCAAGGACAGAATTCCATTTTGTACGCATACAAGTCTTTGCTTCTGGTAGGAGCTTGCGTGCCATAACTTTGCTCTATATGGAACTTGCTTAACTCTGGATGGGGGGCATGAGCTCCCATCTTACTCCTAAAAATTCAGTGCACCTACTTCCACGCAAACAAGGCATATGGAAGGAGCAAAAGAAAAACATTGGCCAAGTGGCTAACTGTCGTAATATTTGAAACGCGGTTTAAATCATACATCAACATGCAATTAAGCCTAAACTTCATAACACATAATGCGTAACAGATATCTACTAAGGATCTCCATCGTAATAGGCCATAAAATTAAAAGACCCAAAAAATTCTCCCTGTTTAGCGACATCCAGGAAGGGGGAAAAAAGGATATCAGGATTTTGAGAAGTTCTCCATGACCTACAGTTGTCAACTAAGCACAACAGATGCAATTCCATCTCTTTGAACAGTAGCATGATCGACTCCAACATCAAAATAACAACATGCCACGATGCTTGCCGACGACATGATTTACTAGCAAGCATTGTATAATATCTACGGAAGCGACTACGAAAACACATAAATCATTTGTTCACACAATATCTCATATATAATAGGGAATGGCATGATGCTACTACACTCCCTCAACGAACACCTCAAAGGCATAACATGAGCTTGGGTCTATCAGATAAAGAATACAGCAAAAGCACACAAAGCAAGAAAGTATCTCAAGCGATGGAGCACATTACGGTGGAGATGACGAACACTGTCCTCAGCGAGCACCATTTCCCGCCATCCATCTACTTCTTGTATCGGGCGACCTCGGCTTCGTTCGGGAAGAAACCCATGAGCCTCCCAGCCGAATTCTGATACGCGTACATGAACCCACCCATGACCCCGATCAGACCCCCGGTCACCATCGACGGGCCTCGAATGTTGGGCTTGATCCCTGCGGACAAAGCCTCGATTAGGGGAATCAAACGAAGGAGCGAATTTCAAGAGAAACTGAAGAGACTGAGACCGGAGAGGTAGCCGACGGTGACGGAGACGGCGGTGATGGTGGAGAGGCGGAGGAAATCGAGGGTGTTGAAGTTGGCTACGGTTTTTGCGAAGGGAGGGTTTCGATCGATCACTGGGAAACCGAAACCTAACCCTAGCTCAGCGCTACCTCGCCCGCACAGAGAGCGTACTTCTCTTGCATTCCGACTTGGGTCTTCGGGTTAGGGCCCTGTATTTTAAATTGGATCCCATCCGCGTTTTTGGATTTATATTTTTGATGATGGCAGCCCATGGTTAGCCCATCTGATTGTTTGAACTGAAATTTTGGTGGTTAATTTCACAAACTCCCTTGACCTTTGGACGGCTTTGCACATAACCCCTTGAACATGGTTTATCTTAGAAATTTAGTTCCTTCCCAATTAATTAATACCGACAAGAATCTTTTTAGTTGCTGTATACTCCATGAAATAGGGATCGAATCCAGAGTGGACTTTGAATTTGTAGGCTTGAAGAAAGTGCCATGATATTTCCCTGTACCCTTAAATAAATCGAGGTCTATCATCCTATGGAGTTAATCGTAGATTTCTTTAGTTAATCCAACCAAAAACTTGTTTAAGGTTTCATTTTCTTGTCGTCCAAAATTTGACCGTGGGTTAATTGCACATGCATACACAATATAGTATTAACATTTTTGGCCTTATTCCCATGTAGTTTCATTTTGGCAGACCCATCCCCATCCACTAGTGGAAAAGCCAGCATCGCTGACGGCAACTTCGCTGACGGGATATTCCCGTCAGTGATGTTTATATCGCTGACGGGTATTCCCGTCAGCGAAGTTGCCGTCACAGATAACTTTCGCCCGTCGGCGATGTTATTATTGCCGACGAGAGAGAAACATCGCTGACGGGTAGCCCGTCAGCGATGTTTGAGTTATATTTCACGCGATCGATCAGGCCCGCTTTCGTTCCCAAATTTCAAAACCCTAAATTCTGTAAGCGCCGCCGCCGTCGACGACCTTCTAGGCCCGCTTTCGTTCCCAAATTTCAAAACCCTAAATTCTGTAAGCGCCGCCGCCGTCGACGACCTTCTTGCAGCTCCGACTCGCCGCCCTCGACTCCCACTTCACACGCCGACGCCGTCGCCATTACCCTCGCGGCTGCCCTAGATCAAGTTCTCCGATCACATGCGTACCTCTCTCGCTCCTCCTCTCTGACTTCACCGCCCGTGCGCCGACTCCCCGGAACGCCGAACCGCCGTAGCTCTACCGACTCGCGGCGCGGCACCGCCCCCGCTGCAACTCCGCCCCAGAGTGCAATTAATCCGTCTCAAAACTTTTTGGGTATCTGCCTTGGCCTCCTGTAATTTTTTGTAAATTTTTTTGTATATTTTAGGTATTGTTGTAAATTTTTAGGTTATTCTTTGTTTGTAAAGTTTTGCTCCAAATTTTTTTAGCGTCTTTTAGGTCATGTTTGTAAATCTTTCGCGGGATTTTTTGTAAGACTTTCTTTGATGTAACTTTTAGGTATTTTGTTGTAAATTTTATTAAATTAGCCAATAATAATTGATTAACAATAAGTCCGTCTCGCTTTGAGTTAAGCATATAATAGTTACCACAAATAAAACACATTTTTAGTAACTCACCTTAGCAAGCATGCGCTTTTGCGAATTACTGTGGGGTTCCCGACACTTTAACTAACAAGAATTCCGGCTTCGCATACAGTCTATGTATACACTTGCTGTTATTATGCAAGCATGTTATCTTCCACTACCTCATTAAAAAATAAGGGGAAAAAAGATGCCACCACTAGCTATGCTAGACAATATAATGGCGGAGAACATTAATAGTTTCGATGTGCGGGTTGTACATGCTCAAGTTTATTTTAGAATATAACCTTGGTGAAATTACCTTATATTTCTCCGCTCAACTGTGATTGTTCATCCTGAGTTATTGAGTTCTACATACTCACACAGGCAGGTTTGTCCAATAACACTTAAACTTAATGAGAGGTTTCTCATTATATCTTTGAAATATCAAGGGGGGTTTTACTTGAGCAGTTGCTTCCAAAGTTTTAAAGGAAAGGAGGGTTTACTGGTTATTTTGACGCCACCCTCTAGCGCAATACAGATACTTCCATACTACAAGGCTTAGTCTCTTTGCGACTCTCAGTACGATGGTCCTACATCTCTCGCAAAAATTTGTTGATATTCATGTTGATAATAGTGGCGGCCGAGAAACGCCTCTCTAATATTCCTTTCTTAGAAATTATTTCTGTAATTTTACGGTCTTTCGTTGGTTTGTTTGCTGGATCTGGAGTATTTGATTTCTTTTGCAATTGCCTCATGCAGGACGCATCCCAAGCGCGTGTCTTACGTTTTTTGGATGCAGTGCAAGAAGATCCATAGCCCGCGCCGGTCATCGGTAATTCTTGTCCTTTTTTGATTCTTGCAGCCGTTCAAAATTGTTTTCTGCATATTTGAAAATTTTAAGGACGGCGGTGTACTCAGTAAGTCGTTACCCCTAGTTCGCCGTCCCTCTAATATTATTGGATCCGTGGAGTTCTCTTATCTGCATATAAACTCACGCCAATTCTTAGCTTAGAATGCTGAAAATACTTTTTACATCTAAAGAGAATAAGTGTGGATTTTAATGTTAGAGTATGCTCACATGCAATAATTATTAGATCCTGTCCGCGTGAGGATTTCCCCTTTCTCCGTACAGGTTAGGAATACAGTAGTTGTATCGTCTATCTCTGCTACAAGCTGTTGACGCATTTCTCGTGATCCCATTAAAATTTTCGATAACACTGCGCCGCCCCGCATTGTTCCTCGTGTACAATAAGTGTATGTCTGTTTGCGTTTCGTTATAATCGATCCGTGATATCGGGCATGATGATCACCGCCACTTATAACAGTCCGCACAGTGTACTCGGAGCAACAGCGGGTAGGTGCTCGGCTCGAAATCTTTTTTTTAAGAAGTAAAAACCGCCATAAAGATGATGAATGCATGTGAGACACTTCACTATATTGCCCTAATGGGAGTAGGCTCCATTTCCGTATGACAGCGCGTTAAAGCTATTGTATAATATACTGAGCCGTTTACGAGTTTTAACTCCCACGCTCAATAGGGTGTTGTGTCCTGGAATCTCGAGTTATTTCTATACATGAACCATGCGGTTGGAAGATAGTAGCCGACGTCAGGGCGTCTCTGCGTGGGCCAGGAATCCGGATGTCGGGGGATGGTCAATGAATCACGCAAGCCGTTAATTTTTGATTGCGCGGTTGACTAATTAAAGAGATTCAACATTATCGCTAATTATTGGCTAATCATCATACAGGATCGAGGATAGTTTCCCGAGAAACAAATCATGATCGATATTTCCTCGTATGATAGAATGGAGGGATAGTCGGATCCATAAACGATGGGAATAAAGTCATATTCATACAATTACGCGTTGGCCCAGATCCACGACAAGTTAGAATAGTGATGTTCGTGTACCTCGTCCCTCTTCTTTGCCCACGGCTTCGGGTTTGGTGTTGGTACAAAAAAAAAATAGGGCGTTGTGGACATAAAAGTGATTTACAAAAACACTTAGGATATCCGGCGTATTTCCATGGAGGGCCAGTACCAAATCATTGGACCGTTTCACGATCGGTGAGACCACACCGGATCCTGTGAAAAGAAACTTGGAGCGTCGTTCCATGGCTGGGGAACATACCCGCGTAGCGTCCGCGGGCTTATGGCGAAGAATAGGATGATACGAGAATAGACTGATACACATGGTACTCGGTATGCTCTCATCACCGGGATATTGTTAAACAGCTTCCTGAATATAGCCATCAATGCTGAAGATGGCCGAGGATGCTGACCGGAGTGCAGCAAATGCTGGACCTGTGTGCCACAAACTGATCATGAGGAGCTAGCGCAGATACATGAAATTAATTAACCGGACAATAGAAAGATGATCTGTATGAGGGTTTGTACCCGACTTCACCAGGTTATCCATTATATGCCCTGCGTCCTTTTTTACGGTATAAAGCTCTCTTTAGCGGAGATCAAACTAACCCGGTGCGAATGGGCGGGGATAAAATATTTTAATATCGTTGGCCCCTTGCTGTTGGCTGCAGAAAAAAGTCATTCCAAATGCGGAAGAGATAGCATACCAAAAATTACTGATAACCAAAGAAGATTGTTTCCGCTTTATTAGGACTTGACTTACAATAAATCGACGCAATGCCCTAAATTGAATTGATATCCTCTACTATAAGCGATAACCAAAGCATCTTCCAGCGCTAGTCGTCCACATGTTGCTGGCCGGAGTAATCGCGGCTACGGCGGGTTACCAAACGCCAAAAATTATTACAACACGGGTCTATGCTTCAGCAAAAGAAGCATTTCCAGCACGAAGGTCCTGCGCATTCTTCCCCTTCGAATACCAAGGGCCTAAAAACGGTTGTATACTGAATAGAACGACTACTGCCTAAGCAATATGAGGTGGCCCAGCATGGAAAAAACCCGTACCTGATGATTCGGTATCAACAATCGAGACATCCGCGCTGACTGCCACGAGCGCGTCCGGCAAGCATATGCTTATAGGAACTTTTCCTTGTGGTTTGCGAATCGGCTCGCTTGGCTCGCCTGGGATGGCCGGCGGTTCTCGGCGCTCGACGGTGCCAGGCAATTGCTTAGCACTAGGTTTGTCTAGCGACGGATTCAATACCACTTTGGATAATGCATGTTCCTGGTTGGTCACCGTGCTACATGGGGGCGATCAGACCCGGGTCGTCCGCTATTAGACGCCCTTATCAACTTTGCACCTTGGCTTTGCCAGTGTGAAACAACCGTATATGATACTTTCATTGTGAGATACCAGGCAATGCATCGGCACCACGCGCAATGACATAGATGTGTTTCGATCTAGAGACCCGCCTAATTTGATGAGTTAAAAACGCAACGTCATGGACTGAGAGGCGCTTCATGACTTATTTTGATACTCGATTAGTGCAAAGCAGTCTTTCACGTTACCTACGTGCTATCTTCTTACTCATGGCAACAACTCTTTAATGATTTTCGCGCAGCCTATGCCGCAATCTTCTGCAGGTCTTCGGTCTACAAGGGGGCAACATCATGCATGGTCGTGTGCTGGTCCAGGAATCTCAAAGGCGTCCTTTTATCTGCCAGCACAGTCTGAAAGTTTTGTTATGCGTTCTAATAGAAGCCGTGGGCC